ATATATATGTCCATACATGTAGCTACATGTACATCCCTACCCTTCACATATGTGGAAACTCCCCTTTGTATCATGTATATACTCACTTCTATATCTGTACATACATGTACATATATATGTACGGTATACATCCAGGTACATATACATGTACGTACATTAAGCTGCATATACATGTGCTGTGTCTATGTACATATAAATAGCTACATCTACATACATCCCATGCCATATGTGAATACACTCTCACTTGTATCATGTATGTACTCACTTGTATCATGTATGTACTACTTGTATATATGAACAGCAGTGTTGCTGCTTACAATTGTGACATGTTATATCTACATATCCAAATGTCCAGCTACACATACTGTAGTGATTGCGTGCAAATACATAATGTGCAGAGCGTGAGGTCCGCCGAAAACCGCTTTTCGGCGGATGTACTGTATAAACCGCAACTGTAGTATATCAGTGTACCTGATCGTCCGCCGAAATCCGATTTTCGGCGGATCTGTTGTTTATAATCTGTGACCTGAAGGTAGGTTGAGTGCAGGGGCAAAGAGAAATGATTTCACACCGCCACACAGGACAACAGTATATTTCAAGGAGTGACAAGCATACAAAGAAAGTGAAGACAACAACATCATATGAAAAATCAATTATTACTAGCACTACCAGCATCCTTCTCTTTCTCCTTCCTAGCCTTCTCCTTAGCCTGAGTTATGGCCTTGAGTGGGTTATTCTTGGTCACTCTAGACCCATCAGCTTCTATATACATTTGTTTAGGATCTGTAACAGGAACTGGTTCACCTGAAGTACTTGGCCACACAGACTTGAAGGTTTCAGTAATTGGAATAAGAGCAGGCCCTTTTTTTCTTTGGTTGAAGTCGAAATCTGGAGCCTTGGATCCATCAGGAGCTCTAGTTGAAAGAGGTGCATGAATCTCCAAACATAAATCTAAACTATATAAGTAACATAAAGTAGTGGGTGCAAATCTATCATGGAACATAGTAGTTAATTTTGGCCAGTCCAAGGTGCGCTTGAAATCTCCTTTATCAGTGATAAACTCTCTAAGAATAGTAAACATGTGATGATCAAGCCTACTCCAAGCTCTTTGATAAAAAACATGAGGTTCAGATGATGCATTATTCTTTCTTCTTTGAGCTAATACACTAGATAAATGAATTAATGAAGCTGCATCAGTCATTTTTTGTTCCTTCTTCCACACCCAAACATGAAACAACCCTGAAGTCCCAAACATAAAAAATAAAGCTAATGTCTGTAATGATAATCTTCTGAATTCATAAGTTTCTTCATTTGCAGCTTTTTCAATTTCTTGTTCAGACACTTTGATGACTTCTTCACTTTGAGCTTCATTCTTTCTTGAAGGAGGTAAGGCTTTTTGCGGATTTTTTCTAACATAATCTAATGATAATTGATTTAAAATAGTACCTTTGAGTACATTCTTTCTTGCAGTGATCTGTTCAGGAGTCCTAGGAGTCTTTTTACAAAATCTTTCAAGAGCTCTGTTGTAAACATCTCTTTCATAAACTAGCATCACCCCAGATAAAATCAATAAAAAGCGCTGTTGAAGCCAGCTCATACCTTGATGGTGTACTTTATTGGATTTATTTTCTTTTTCTTCATGAGCTTTGATCATGCATTGTTGCCATGCCCAAGCAATGCTTTGGGACATGGGAACTTGAGTAGAGTGAACCTTGTGTTCACCTTCAGTCTGAATTTTAATTTGATCAGCCTTAGTATTATAAGAGATAATATCCACACTTTCCTCTAAGATTTTATGAAGCGTCTTGTGAGCAGTCTTCACTTTATTTTTGATGTCCTTTTCACTAGTCCATACAAGCTCCTTTCCAGTCCGGCATGCCATTGAGTGGAATGCTCGAAATATACGATTTCTATCCTTCCAAGGGTAACGAGTTGACTCGTTTATTAAAGACCACTCAATCGAATTTTCAGTGAGGTAAGGATCGGTCGTGGCAATTTGAATCAAGCGTGGACCTACAGCCACAAGGCAATGGATGAGTTCCAACTTGAAAGTGTTGAGCTAGAGTCGGATGTAGCACTTACAAGTTTCAATGTGCTTCTTGATTTCCTTTCCTTCCACAGTGCGCTTCATCAAAACAACTAAGGGCTGAATTGTGTCCTGTGTCGGCTGTCCAAGTTGACTATTTTCGTGATATTCCCAGCACGAAATCACTCCAACAACCGAATCCTTCAAGGCGTCGCCCCAGTCGAAAATGTTGCCAGTGAGGGTACTGGCAGCCTTTTGAAGAAACTCGACTTCATCTTTGGAGGGTAGATGCAGGAGCTCTACACAATGAGAAACAGTCAGTCAGCCAGCGCAATCAAATACAGGATAGATAGGAGAGATGAACAGCGACGAGATAGCTCCCCGCCGAAAGCTCAACTTCGGCGGACCAGAGTCAGCATACGCTCCGCCATGAGATAGAGGACAGCGAAGCGCAAGATAGATGAGGAAAGTACGTCCGCCGAAATACATAGTTCGGCGGACATAGATGAAGTAAGAAAGAATGATGTCCGCCGACATTTGTATTTCGGCGGACATGTATTGAAAGAGATGAGGCAGAGTGTACGCCGAATCACACTTCGGCGGACATAAGGGTCAATAGAAATGATTAAGAGGTGAAGAGACCGTCCGCCGAAAACCAAACTTCGGCGGATAAGGAAGGGTAATGGAAATGATATAGAAAGAAGGTAGAGATTGTCCGCCGAAGAGCAAACTTCGGCGGACGAGAAAGCGAAATAGACAGGAAATAGATCGAGATCGTCCGCCGAAAAGTAAACTTCGGCGGACGAGAGGTAGGAGGGCGATCCAAAAGACTTACTTGTGAGGTCCAAGATTGTGTCCGAGTTGTGAAAGATAGATGTGGTTGAAATCGGGAGCTGTTCAATCTGGGGTTCTTGAACCTTTTCCACTTTCTTCGCGGTCGGTTTACTTTTCTTACTGGCGTCCTCAGCCATTACCACCTCTGCTGGTTGCTGACTAGCATCCGGTCCCACAATATCAACTTCATCGTCGCTGCTGCTTTCACCTTCGTCAGTCGTATCTTCATCACCTAAGTGAATGTCGAGATGTTCGTCGTCGTACACGAACTCTTCGGATTTGTATTCTTTCTTTCTGCGCTTTCTTCCGCCACAACCCTCCTCCTCAACCTCTTTTTCACTGACTTTGGCCTCCAGGTCTAAGTATCTTTTGACCCCTTTGCTGGCTCCTACAGAATCGAAGCAAGTTAAAAATGAGATGAATATAAAGATGAGAAAACATAAGCTCACCTGAACCAGTAGATTTCCTACTCGGAGCGCGAGCTGGAGGTCTGACTAGCTGGGGCATAGGGTTACGAAAGGGTATAATCTCGATTTCGTCCTGGCCGTCGGTAATCGCTTCGTTCAACTTCGTCTCTCGTTTCTTGAGGGCTTGGTTAGACAAAGACAATGCCCCCATCATGAGCTCGAGTTCGCCGTAAAAATCGTCAGGGTCGTCATCGTCCTTGCGCTCTTCCTGGAACTCTTTGAAAGCCTTCAAAGAGTTCTCGTGGATTTCTTTAACTGAAAATACAAAATGTAAGCCGCCTGCCCTCCACGCACGTTTGGATGTATATCAACTGACACTTTTTATAACGCTGGAGCGCCTTGTCGACCTTCATCTTCCGCACAGCTTGAGAAGGTGTTTGGGGTTCCTAAAACAAACAGATTGATAGTCAGCATTTGTCTGGTCCGAAAGGTATCTCCGCCGAAAATGAGAATTCGGCGGAACAGCTGATTTCGGCGGAGTGTCTCTTGACACATATGACCAGCGAGAGAACGAGAACCTCCGCCGAAATGGATAATTCGGCGGAGGTATAGATATGGAGAGACACTTACTTGAGGGGCGTCCTTCTCGACCTTGGCGATCTTCACACCCTTGAGTTTTTCCGCGTCGGTCTCGGGCATAGAACTAATGCCTTCGTTTGGCTTCGGCTGCACAGCAGGTCTATGATGAGCATGAGACTGGAGGTGGAATCAAGGTGGCTACTTACTATGATGGATTCAGCATCAGCCTCCTCGCTCGAGGTGCCTTCATCTTCGCCAGTGTCCGGATCTTCATTCGACTTGTAACAATTGAAAGCAGGTCAGCTACTTGCTACTTGGGAGATGCTAATGTAGAGAACTCACCTGAGGTTGCATCTCAATATCGGCCTCTGGAGCCTGGTTCAACTGAGGTGAACCAGGTGGTGATGGGGTGGCTGCAGCAAGTACCTAATGAGTTCGATTTTCAGCAATCATATACATGTTAGTGTGATGCTGATTGGACATCCACCTTCCGGATTTTTCCTACCCTGGGAGCTGGCTGAGATAAAGGACTGCTGGTGGCTTGGGTTAAGTTCTCCTACAATTGAGCAAATTATCATCAGACTTACCACCTGGAGTGAATGAAGCACATGAAGATCACTTACTTGTGACATGTTGACTGGCCACAGATATGGAGGCATTGTTAGCAAGTATCGAAATGCAGTTAAGCTCGTTTTTGACTCACCTAAATCAAATGCTGTGCATTGAAGTATGAGAAATGTGTGAGTCAGTAAAGCTGTTGATCTGAGCTACAAGTGAGTGGGGCTGAGGTGATTGGTGGGAGTGGATGAGGTAATGATCACTCACCTATTTTGATCGATTTCAAATCAAGTCGATTGCTGATTGTGATTGTGATTGAAATGGAATTGAGATGACTGTTGATGGTTGAGTTAGTATTTTGGTGATTTTGTTGATGATGGGATGGATGGATGAATGGATGGATGAATGGATGGAAGTAAGAATGGTTCAAGTTTGGGAATCGAGTTCGACCAGGACCTGAACTTCATCAATGCTTAACCTAAGTGGTTATCATCATTGTAGGTTAGGTTAGGTTATGATGCGAGTTGCACATGTAGGTTTACATAGACCTGTCACGTTCCTGACCTTTCACGGACCTGGACAAGCTCCGGTCAAAATGGTCACACCTGGGAATCGAACCCAGGTGTTGAGGATGTCAAGCCTCCAAACTGTCGTCTTAACCGCTAGACTATAGCTCCTGTACTGGTATAGGTTGGTACTTATATTTGTAAGGAACACAAGGATTGGTCTCTTACCTTGCATGCTGTCTGTGGGTAATGCACTACACATCCTGGCATGCAGGGTGAGAGGTCAACCATTGACAGAATGTGCATGGTTTGAACTGGAATTGCGTGATTACATAACAGCAAGCAGTGTATGTATTACACATTATGATGAGGTGTGGGTTATGACTGTAACCTGGCCTTGCAGTCTGTTAGGTTATCTGCTGGCTGTTGGTGTGTATCTACATAGGATGGTGACATACAATGCGTGAGTGAGTCCACATCCTTGTATTGATTGGTCATGACATTGATTGGGCAGGACATCAACCTTTGGGTGTGGCCTATCACAATCACCATGCGCAGAGCATTAATGCACTACGCATGGCTGGCCCTGATGAGTGGTCTCAACGGGGGTTTTAGTCAGCAGTACATTTCTTGGATAGCTGCTCTTGGGCTTGAGATCATCCTGCTTACGTGGAAATGGTCATGATAGTATTAAAGATGGTATGTGTGTGTTACTTGATTCAGCGCAAGGGGGGACGGGAGAGTGGGTCAAGGTGTTACATTACACACCTCTTGGACCCTTGTACCTTTCCTCCTGCGGGTGAAGACAGGCTCCGCCGAAAGGGCATTTTCGGCGGACCATATATCCGCGCTGAAGTCCGCCGAAATCTCATTTTCGGCGGACAATCCTTCGAGCTGCGCCCCGGTTTTAGGGCTCGCGGCTCGCGGCAAAAGGACCGGGGCGCACCTCACCAAAATGCGCCCCGTGCGCCCCTGCCGTGAGGCCTCGAAGCGGGGAGGCGGTAGCTAGGGCCTACTATGTAACCCTAACCCTAACCCTAACCCCTAACCCTAACCCTAACCCCTAACGGTTACGCCGCACTACGGGTTACATCCACTACGGGTTACACACTACGGGTTACACACTACGGGTTACATACACTACGGGTTACATACACTACGGGTTATACGTACTACGGGTTATACGTACTACGGGTTACACACACTACGGGCTACACGTACTACGGGTTACACACTACGGGTTACACGTACTACGGGTTACGCCACACTACGGGTTACACACTACGGGTACACACTGCGGCTTACATACTACGGGTACACACTGCGGCTTACATACTACGGGTTACATACTGTTACACCCTACGGCTTAATCGCACTACGGGTTACATACTGTTACACCCTACGGCTTAATCGCACTACGGGTTACATTCACCCCTAAACCTACATTGCTCCTTCATTAACCTTCAATTTCCTTTCACCTACCCTGTACAATCCATTAATATTCTCGTTCAAAAACACAACTTCTTTTTTATTCTCATACTCCACTCTCTCCTCTCTACCTAATATCTCACTGCATCATAATATTTCACTCAACTTACTAACCCCTACATCTTCCACCTCTTACTAACCCCTACATCTTCCACCTCTTACTAACCCCTACATCTTCCACCTCTTACTAACCCCTACATCTTCCACCTCTTACTAACCCCCACACCTTTCACATCTTGATTGATTCCTCCTACACATAAAAACAACCGCACATCTTCTTCTATATTACCAAACCTCCCATTATCTCCTCTAACCATTACTTCCCTACATCGTGATATTTTGCTCAACTTACTAACCCCTACATCAAAATATTTCCCACAACTTACTAACCCCTACATCATAATATTTCACTCATCTTACTAACCCCTACATCTTTCACCTCCACATTTATCATCCCACATGTTCCACCCACTATCCTTCTCCACTCCAATTATATACACATACATACATCATCATTCTATCTACCCATATATACCCACACCTACCACTACCACTATTGCACATCCACCTACTCCTGCTCTCCAATCTTCTCCAATCACTTATTTCATTTTCCCCAATTTCCTTCTGTCATCATCACACCCGCATTCCAACTTAATCATCTTACATCCCTGAACACCGGGCACACACACTACGGGTTACATGCTCTACCGCTTAACCAAACTATGTGTTACGCTCTCCGGGTTACGTGCACTACGCATTAATCACACTACGGATTATATATACTACGTGTTACACATACTACATTTACTCCGCTCTACGGGTTACCCATACTACGTGTTACGCACACTGCCGCATCACCTGTGTATTCTTGGGCCCTGCTCGTTCTTGGGTCCCCTGTAATCTTTAACCCTGCGTTTACTTTGCCCCTACCTTGAGTTTAGCCTAGCGCTGCCTTGGCCCCTACGTTGTCTTTGGTCCTCCTTTGTCTTTGCCCGCCCTTTGTATGCTTTGGCCTGCTTGTCCTTGGCCCCAACATATTCTTGGCTTCTCCGTTGTCTTGGGCCCTCCTTTTTCTTGGATCCACTGTGTTCTGGGCAATATTCACTTGATCTCCACTCCACTCTTGGTGCCACCCATTGGCCTTGACTCAACTCTTGGGTTGCCTCAGCATCTTGTGTTGACTCTGACTCAAATCAAAATGCCTCTTGGTATCCACTGTAGCGCACAACTGGTTTTGGCCCACTGAATCAATCTTAACTTGACATTACCTCTTTGTGTTGTCTCAACTCTTCCTCAAATCTGTGTGTTGTCTTCACTTGACTCTTTGCCACCAATTGCTCTAACCTCTGTTACGTCTGGGGCACACGTTTGTCTTGGGTCTCCATATGTCTTTGGGTGAACCTTTGTCTCCAACGTCTGCATGCCTTGGGCGGCCTTGTTGCCTTGGGACTGTGTGTTGTCCTGGGCCTATGTTTCTCCCAGCTTTCCGCATGTCTTTGGGGTTACAATTCTTGGCCCTCTTGTGACTTGCCTTGACTTTAATCCATCTCCACTCTGACTCTGATGGTTCATTGTCCGTTGACTTGACTCATGGTTGCAACTCAACTCTTGGTCTACATTTGGCTGACCTTTGTAACTCGGATATTAGTCTTGGTCTCAACTCTCCTTTTGTCCTCAACCTGACTCACTTTGTGTCTTGGTGATGACTTTGTTTCCGCCTGGACTCGGTTTGATTACAATCTTTTATTGGTCTTGGACTGGCCTTGACTCAAGTTGATATACCGAGTTTCTCCTTGGCCCTCTGTTCACTTTGTCCATCACTGGCTCTGGAAGCCTGCCCTTGCTTGACCTCATTTCCTTTTGGTTTTCTGTTATAGTGGGTACTCCATGACTTGGGCCTCCAGTGACTTTGCCCCTCCGTTGTCTTTGTGCCCCCATTATTTGGCCCTCCTTCCCCTCTGGTGCTACACTGTCCTTGGTCCTCCGTATTCCTTGGCCATTGGTTTCTTTGGGCCCATCATTCTTTGGCTGTCTGTTGTCTTTGGTCTTTGGTTTGGCCCTCCATTCCATGAATTCATCCACCTTTTGGTTTCCCCCAACCTCTGTGACCTTTGATGTGTCTCATTACCTGTACAATCTCTTTGGTACTCCATCTTGGGCTCTCTGTTGTCTTTGGTACCATGTCATTTCTGCCCTCGATCACCTCTGGTGCCCCACTGTCTTTGGACTTCCGTAATCTTTGGGTCTTCTTTTTCTTGTGGTCCCGGATGCTTTGGATCTCTGTCCCCAACGCTAATTCATCTCCTCTTGCCCTGTGTTGTCTCTGGCCATCCTTTGGACCTTTTCCTATATTTGGACCTCCGTATCCTGCGGCCCCTCATATTCCTTGGTCCTATGTATTCACCCTTGATTTTCTTGGCCCTCTGTGTCCTTGGACCCCCCAGTCTGTATTGGAATTGGGTCACTTTTCCTCCCACATACATCATATTGGAATTTTGCTTTTGTTCTTGGCTTGGATATTGGGCTTGCTCTCAACTGGACTTTTGCACTCAACATGTGTCTTTGGCTCAAATTTCATCGTTTGTCACTACTTCTGTTGTGCCTTAGTGATGACATTATTCTCTGTCTGAACTTGAATGAATTACAATCTCGGTCTACTCTTGAATCGTGTTCTTGACTTTGGTGTTGGTCTGGGTCTGGCCTTCAGTCAAGTTGGTCTACTTGGATTGAATTGCCTCTTGTGACTCAACTTCCAGTCTCAACTTGAGTCTTTGCATTGACCCAACTTACTGGCCTGTCTTGAGTCACTGGCCCATGGCAAGACTACCCTTGGTCTTGACTCGACCCTTGGCTGTTGGTTTTCACTATCTGTATCTGTCTCACTTGTTCTTGTGCTTCAGATGACTGTGATCTCAGTCTTGGTGACAACTCTCTGTCTCTGTTTTCACTCTTGGCCACGATTCTACTGTTGTTTGTGACTTGATTTGACTTGGCCTTTAGTTTCCAATTGGCCCTGGCTCTTGACTCAACTCAAGCTCCCTATTGTGCTCAAAGTTTATCCTCTACTCAAACTTGCATCTTGGTCTCAATATTGACCCTTGGGCGTCACACATGTCTTTCTTGCACTTGAGAATTGCTCTCAAAACCTCTTTGTGTCAACAGACTCTTGGTGTTAACTCTGTGTTTTGATTACATTTGACCTTTCACCCATGTCTATGAGTCTTGGCTTGACCCAACGTCTTGGTGTCAGTCTTGACTTGGGGTATACTCAAAACCTTGGTCTTGGACTGAGTCTTGGTCTTGGCTCACCTTGACTGAACTCAACTCAACTTCGTGTTTCTAGCATCCATCTATGTCTTGAATCCACTCTCTGTCAGTCTTCACAAAGAGTGAAATCTTGGTCTCAAATCACTTGAAGCATATTGATGAAAATGGAAACTGACCCCCTCTATAAGCATATATATCATGAAACCGAGCAGGACCCCCAGTACAAGCATATCAAGAGAAGCTCACTGTGGGACTGAACCTTGATCCTGATGAATATTCCACAACAACATGAATACAAGATTTTCATGTTTCACAATGCTCGGCGTTGGCGAGCATTTTTGCTCTCGACATTCTTGTATCAGCCATATGAACCTCAATCAAGGTTCATTTATCAGCAGAACATCAATACGAGATTT